AAGTTTTTATTTAAAATTTTACCTTTTTAAACAAAACATAAAAAATCTAACATTAGTTTACATATTTTATTTATTAAATTTTTTATTATTATCACAACTTTTTAAAATTTTAAAATTTGCAGTACTTAGTGGTGTGGAGGTTCACTCGTGATCGTAAATTTATGATTTAAATTCTGATGCTTCAGGTCTTGATTTTCATCACATTATATAATTTTTAAATTATTTTATTTAATATTATCCACATAAATTCTTATGCAAAAATAAATATTGCACCATATGTAAAATGGAAATAATATATAATATTATATCAATTAGACTATCTAAATATTTATCTTAATTTTAATTTATAATTAATTATATTATATTGTAATTACTTCTATTAATACATTATTAATTATTTATAATCATATTCATCCTCAATTTCTGTGTTTAATAGTAATCTGGATACGGATCTGGGACAGAGGTCGGAGGGAGTATACAAGTAGTCTTTACTGAATAAATTTTTTTCAATAAATATTTAGTTTTTATTATGTTGCTCGATTATCTCTATTTTTGTACACATTCGTCGGGTTATGTGTAGAGCTGTTAAATGAACTAAGCTGTTCATGAAGGTCTGGTTCGGCTCGATTTAAGCTCATTTACAAACGGAAATGAGTCAATCCGAATAACATAAATAGACTTGTTTTATTAACTAACAAGTTCGAACCTTATCTGCGAACGTTTGTTAATATATACATGAAATTATTAATTAAAAAATAAATAAATGAATTAAAAATAAAATAAAATATTATACTTATCTGAACAAGTTCAAACGAATTTAATCGAACCGAATACAAGCTCGAACAATAAAAATACTTAACGATTTGAGTTCGAACACTACAAACAACTTCAAATATTTAACGAACGAACACAAATCTTATTCACAAAAATTAACAAAGGAACACAAATATTTAAAATTATGTTCGATTCAGCTCGTTAACCGTTCCAATTATTCTTATTTTGGCGGAGCAGTGATGGCGCCATTATAAGGAGTGGGGCTGCAGCTCAGCTACCGCTGGCGCTGTTGATTTTGCTGCTGCTGCGGTCCAATTTATTCATTATCAAAATATATATATATATATATAGAAAATAATAATAATAAAAAATAAAAAAAATAATAAAAATAAATATATATATATATATATATATGTATATGTATGGCTAAGCCTTTCCAGCTGTGTGTGTGTGATGATGCATTTGAATTGATCTTCTATGGACCCTAAACTTTTGCTTGTCAATACCATAATCATCATTTCTAATTTCCTCATTCGACTTATTATTTGGATATATACATGTATATTTATTTTATGTCTATATAATTCTCACTCCGTCCACACACAAAGTAAACATTTATTTTTGACGCAGTATTTAAGAAATAATAGTATTTTAATTATAGTGGATAATTAAAAATAGTAAAATGACATTTTTGTTCTTGCTTTTTTGTGTAAAAGTAATAATATAATGTAAAGTAAAAATATTTGTGGAAAAAAGTGAGGTATTTAATAAAATATTTACTTTGTAATTGGACGTTTCAAAATATAAATATATGTATTTTCTAACTGGACGGAAGGAGTATATATATACCTCGTTTTCAACTTAAAGTATATTTTTATTATTTTTGTCAGTCTCTCTCAGAAGTATATTTTTTACTACAATAAAAATAATAACATATTAATATTGAAATATTTTTTAAATTTTATAAATTTAAAATATATTATTATACATATAATTAAGTTATACATAAAATATTTTTTTATGAATGATCTGATAGTATAAAATAATCTCGTGATCGTAAAATCATGGGTTCAAACACCCTAGTGTGATTAGGTTAAAAAAAAAAAAAAATCTAATCCGGCCAAGTCAGCATCGATTCAGCATATGTCATACGCATAGTCATCATATATTTATACATAGTACAACATATGCTAAATTATATTATGACATATGTTGAATTATAATATAACATATGTTGTATTATAAATATTGGAGGCGGCTACAGTGCTTAGCATACAGTGTTACTATATACAGAACGCAGTATACTTTAATGTAATACAAATACAGCACATGACCTAACTGCTATAGTCTCACACAACACATATAATACTTGATTTTAGCACATGATATACTCTCATACAACACACGCTATAATTATGAATTAGCACATGTTTTTATTACAAACAACGTATGTTGTATTTGATAAAAACGTGTGATGTTTTCATATTACTCTAATATTTCCCGTAAATGTACTAAAAAATATATAAATATATATTAATTACTTGTATAATATATATTGATTTGGTCAAATTAGGAGTTAATCCATGCCAAAAAAATTCAAATTGTTTGGTTTTGGTGAAAGGTTGACATCGTAATAAATAAGCACAAATTAAACAATTCCATCATGCGTGATTGACTGTAGTGAAATCAGAACATTGGGATTGAAGTCTTTATTTAGGGTGTGTTTCTTTGATGAGTTTGGAAAAAAAAATAATGGTGAATTTGGTATGAAAATAATATTTGATGTGATATTTTATGAGAAGAAAAAATGTATTTTTTTTTTCGAAAAATACAGAGTCCAAATAGTAAAATTTTGGGAAAATTTTAGTTAGGATTTTTAGGACCGGACCATAAACTATGTCCTAGGATAAAAAAAAATAGCACTACATTTGGTCGTTTTGAATTAAATATTGTCTCTGTTTCGGTTTAATTTACTTTTTGCATGTTTATCTTTGAATAATAATTATTAAATTAAAATATAGTAACAAATTAAGAAAAAAATTACAAAAATATTTTCATTAGTGTCTTATAATACTAATAGAATGATATTTGTACAAAAAATTATACAAATATACAGATATTTTTAATATTAAGTATAATGAAGCAAAAGGTAAATGTGACCCTTAGAGGCGGACGGAGGAAATATTATTTTAATATAATATTTTTTTATATCTACTTGGTATGTTAAATGACGATTTTTTCTTTCATGTTTGAGTTCGGCTTATAGTCGTTCATTAAGAAATATTAGTTAAAATTTTTATTTGAGTAAAACTTATTTAGTAATTATTTTGTTTATATTCGATTTGACTCGGCTTGTTGAAAGAATTATTTATTTAATTTTTGTTTAAATTTAAAATTAATTAATAATAATTATATTTTTTATTAATAAGTTTATATAAAAAAATTAGAATTAAGTATAATGTTTATAAAGATATATATACTTATTAAATATTAATTTCAGATTTTAACAAATACTGTCGAATATTCGCGAACACGCTCAAGCTCGTTCGTGAACATAACGAACCAAAATTTATATTTGTATACGGCTCGTTTAACTTAAGGAATTGCTTTTAATGAGCTCAAAGGAGTCGGACTTACGAATTGTTCGTTCGTTTTACCATTCTACAAATATCCTCATATTTATATTAAATTTATATCAATACATTTAAAAATATTTTACACATCGTAGAGATAAAATAAGTTTTACATACAAAACTATCACTAAAATATAATATGTATTAAATTCTCTACATTAAATAAATATATATTTATAAAGTGGACGATGGAAGTATTATATAAAAAAATGGGTGTGCTTATTTGTGCGATTTTGGTCTTAGTTTTACTATTTTTTTTTAAAAAAAAAAATCTCCAAAAACATCAAATCAAATATATATTTTTTATTTATTATATTACATTAAAATTTAATTTTACACTCAAAATATTGCATAAATGTATATTTATATCAAATCAAATAACTATTTCAATTCAAAATTTTATTATTCATAATCAAAAACTCAAAACTAAAATTTTATTATTCATATTCTTTTATTATAAATTATATTGAATAAATCGTGTATATTTTAGTTTAAAATAGAAAATAAATATTTTAAACCCATTGATTGGGCCCTTTCCATAACTGATTATTTATGCATCTCAAAGCCCATGATATTATGGCCTGTCCTTTGGTCTTGGCCCAAAGTATACTTCAATTTCCAATTTCAAATTTCAATATTATTATTATTATTATTATTGTTGTTGTTGTTGTTGTTGAACTGGTTTTTAATAAAATATTATATTTATTAATTATATAAATAAAAAAATTAAAATCAAAACATTAAACCAAGCACACACCAAAATTTGGAGACACCCTAAATTAGAAAAATATGGAAAAGTTTTTTTGAGATCGAAATAGTAATGTTCATTTTATTTGGATTTTAACTTATTATAAAAATTTAAAATGTATATTCTTTATAAAAATATACTAGTATTTAATTTTATAAAATATCATAACAAAATATTATTCAAACAAAATTTTAAATTTTAAATATAAACAAAACAAACCTTTTAGATAACCATGTCTTCGGTTATATGTTTGAGAATTAGGTTTTGATTGTTGAACAATAAAATTTTAGATATAGACAATTCTTTTATATAATATAAATATATATTGATATACTGCTTTTAAAATTAATTTTTTAATATAATATAAAAAGCAAAAAATATATATTTTGGAAATATATTATCAAATAAAAGCTGAATACAAACACTCGAAATGAATTTTATATTTTTTTAAAAAATAAAGTTATGTATTGAAGATGACTTAATTAATAAATAATTTATAATTAACTATAATGTATTCAACTTAATTGTAAATTATTTTATTCTATAATTATTTAATTATTAATATTATTATTGAAATTTGTCCACACATTATTAGTTGCATAGGTATTCTGTAAATCAGTGCAACCTCCCATTTCCTACTTCTCCGGCGATGTGTAGCAACAAACAATATTATGTCTTCTTCACTCTAAAGGTTTCTTTGATATTTCTTCTTCCCAAAAGAATAAAAAATAAAAATAAAAAAATAAAAAAATAAAAAAAGAAAAAAAGAAAGAAAGAAGGTGAATAAATTAGTCCATATAGAGGAAGAAAAAAATAAAAAATAAATAAAAATAATGTCTTCTGATATGAAGATTATCGAAGAAGGGATTGTACCTTCGGACGATAGCCTCGGAAAAAATTCAAGCAATGAGAATGAAGACTCCACAATTTGTGCCTCAAACAATGTGGTTGTCGTCGCTCAAAAAGTATGTATGTGTTTCCATATTTCTTTATTTTGTTTACGGCACGCTGTTAATTTTTTTTAAGTAAATATAACACTCTATTTACATATTTCCAATTCTTTTAAGAGCAAAAATTAGGTGTTGATTAAAATTATCAGCACTCATCATAGTAATATATATCAAACATATATAAATTTGTAGTACATATATAAAATAGAACTTACAAAACATATTGATACTTTATACAACAAATATTGTCCGTTATATTTTCATATGTTATGTATAGAATTTTTATGTGCTCATTGAGACAATCAGTATAATATTGATAAATCCTCAATCAACATCCTAGCCGAAGCATTTGTTAAGGTTATTCATCTATCCTATCATCTCACACACACACACGCACATATATATATATATGAGGTCAAATACTTATTTTATTTTTATTTTTTTACAAAATATCACATCAAATATATAATTTATTATTGATTCTAAAATTTTCAAATTACAAAACTTTAAAAAACCGTATGTAATGGAGCATAGGGGCATCAGATCGTCGGCCACATTTTTCCTCAGTCTACCCAGCCCCTCTCTAAAAATGATATATATACATAATGTGTATATATATATATGATATATAAATATAGATAATGTATACATCTATATTACATGTGACTGAATGAAGCTAAGGGAAAATAGGGCCGACGATCCGATGCCGAGCGTAGGTGTTAAATTAACATGACCATATTTTAAAATGAAATATTATTGATGGTCGTTGAGTATGTACTTTGCTCAACGCTTTTCTAATGAATAGTTATATTATTAGGTGATTGCCGAGGTGATCGGAACATATTTCTTGATATTTATAGGATGTGGTTCAGTTGCCGTGAATAAAAAGTATGGATCGGTGACATTTCCAGGGATTTGCATGGCTTGGGGGTTGATAGTCATGGTCATGATCTACTCTGTTGGCCATATCTCCGGCGCACATTTTAATCCTGCGGTCACCATTTCATTCGCCATTTTTCGCCAATTCCCCGCCAAACAAGTAACCAATATATATATACACACTATAAATTTTATGTTGTAATTGACACATTTAATCATTAACTTGCATGAAAATAATTTTGTTTTGTACTCGAAATTGTACTATTGATTATTTTTTTTCTATGTAATGTATATTTTACATTCTCCATACGTCACTTTACTACAAAAAATTTGAAATTTAGCTGCAAAAAAATTGTAGCAAAAGATAATGAAGTCATAGCAAAAACGTTTTTGTGACGAAACTCATTATGTCGCCTATACTGTGTTAGTAAAGGTCTTTGACGACAAATATAACTTTCGTAACAAAAAAAAAAAATTGTAATGAAAGTAAAGAAAAAATATATAGTTACAAAAATATGATTCCGTAGCTAAAGCTCTTTTGCTATAAAATTAAAATTTATAACAAAAGAGTTTTAACAACAAAATATGTATGATTTTTTAAAACCAAATGGTTTTAGCTATAAAAAATAATTTTGTAGCTAAAATTTTTTTGCTATGAAAATAAATATCTCTAGCAAAATAATTTTAGCGACAAAATTAATTTTGTTAATTTATTTTTAACGATGGAATTAATTTATATTGCTAAATAACACATTTTTATTACATAAATATTTCGTAGTTAAAAATATTGTAGATAATTAGATATTCTATTGTAGTGCTTTTTGTAAGTACTCATGAATGTCACATGCATATACATGATCATTAGAGTGACAATATGGGTGTGATATAAGATTATTGTCTTATAAAGTCTCTTTAAATAACAAAAATAGTAAGAGATGCTATTTTGTGCAATTTTTCATTAATTTTGACATATAGGGTTTGTTCACTTTGTGTTTTTTTATAGATATATTTTCTATATTAAGTATTAAAAATTGTATTAGTAATATAAAAAATAATATTTAGTATTAACTTCCTGTGAGTGAGTGTGTTAATTTGTGTATATTATATATTTTTTTGATAAAATTATAATGAATCGTTCCACTTAGAAATATTAAGTGAACAAACTCCAATATATAGGTCCCTTTGTATATTTTGGCGCAATTCACCGGATCAATACTTGCGAGCGTGACTTTGTATTTGGTGCTTGATTTACGGAAAGAAGATTATTTTGGAACTGTACCGGTTGGATCCAATGTTCAATCCTTCATCGTGGAGATAATTACTTCTTTTCTCTTGATGTTTGTTATTTCCGGTGTCGCCACCGATAACAGAGCAGTGAGTATTGCCTATATATATGTCCAAACTGTTTAGTTTGAACATTTTAGTTTTTTTATTTGAATTGAAATTTTGAAAAAAAAAAAAAAATCCATAATCAAAATTAAAATTTTAAGGTTGATTCGTGATTTCTTGAATCTCTAAATTCACAATTTCAAACTATGATTTATGATTGATTGTTTTTAAATTTTTTGAAAATGAATGGATTAAAACTTGTAACTATTTAACTGGAAAATCAAATCCAAACCATATTGACATTGGAATAGGTGTTGTTAAATTTTTATTTTTTTAATTTTTACAAAATGAATGGATTAGATTTACTAAGCATTATTATAAAAAATTCAAATTAATTGTTAAATTTCAATTTAAATTAAAATGATCAAAATGATATATGTATATGTCTATATAATGAATGAAAATGCAGATTGGAGAATTGGCTGGAATTGCTATCGGAATGACAATATTGATCAACGTTATTGTTGCAGGGTAAATTAATTAAACTATATATTTATATATTATGGTTAATTTAATTATTCATGTATTTAGAGTGTAATCTTTATTATTTTCTTTTTTTAGAATTGTTTTGAAAAAAAAAAATTCAAATAAAAATAAATATTTTATAATGTAATACTTTCTTTTCTTTTAAAAATATGCTTTTTTGTTTTGTTTCTTCAAAATATTTTCATTTAGTTATATAGTAAAAATTCATTCTAATTTTTACTATTAAAAAAGCAAAAATAACAAACATTACACACTCACATAAAAAATTGTGCCCAAAAGTATGAGTGCATTTTTTTACAAAAAAATAAATATATATTTTAAAGAATAAAATTAAAAGAAATACGTGTTCTTTATTATTTAGCAGTTGTGTTACGGTGTTGGTAATGTAGGCCAGTGTCGGGAGCATCGATGAATCCGGCAAGAAGTATTGGGCCGGCAATCGTGATGCATGAATACAAAGGGTTGTGGGTGTATGTGGCCGGCCCTTTTTTAGGGACAATTCTAGGGGCTTTTACCTACAATTTTATTAGATTCACCGAAAAACCACTCCGAGAAATAACCAAAAGTGCATCATTCATTTAAGCTACTTGATCATCTATATCTTTTGTTTCATGATCATACCTATGTATATATATTATATAGGAATGGATTGATACAATATGTTAAAAATATCAAAGCATATAATATATTATACTGAAAGTTTTTGTATATATAAATGTATATTGATGCATAGAAAATTTGGTATATAAAAAAATTAATAAACTTGATATTTTTCAATATAAAAATACAATTTTTTGATATTTTGGATATGTCCATATATATATACTAAGTAAGAGTACATGGTACATCCATACAACATTAAAATTATTATAAGAAATACATTTAGGCTTTCGATAAGAAAGGGTTTGTTTGGATAGGTGTAGTAGTGAGCTTGTGGTTTGAAAAGTAAATTTAAAATTGATATAAAATAAGTATTTGACTTGTTATTTGAAAGATAACTTTTGTACTCAATTATATTAAATAAACAATAAAATGTAAATTTTGAAACCATATAAGAAACCAAAATTATAAGTAAAAACTTAAATCAAACAATCGTCAATATTATATTGAATGCATTTTTTTCAACATACATATATCTCTTATATTTTATACAATAAAAAGTTAGCATAACCAAATTACTTTTATAAATAAGAGTGAATACCCTTATACCAGATTGATAGCGAAACAAACATCTAGGAGTAATATATTAGACGTTGCATTACTTAAAACAATAGTTGTCTTTACAATAGTTTGTTTATATTTATGATAACCATATTTATGATTTTATTTGGACACTATATAACTTGATCAATTCTAATGAATTTTTGTCTAAGCATATCATATTTTTGTAGTCCTTCTGTGGATGTTATTATCAAGATTTATAGATATTTTTTGTAATTGTTTTCCAAGTGTATCAAAATGAGGTACATAAAGTGCCACTTGATTTGATTGACGGAAAATATGAGATTAAGAAAAAAAGAAAAAGATTTAAAGTCTCAAGATATCTCTGTGACCCTATCTTAGCAGGTGATAAGTGAAGAAAGCAATGTTTTTTTATATTTATGTTTATTTCAAAATTTTATGAATGCATTGATAACACATTGGGTGAAAGTTTGTTTGATAGTTTACAATTTTTTTCTATTTTAAGTTCCAATTATTTCTAATTGCAAGTACCTTTTTACATTAAATTATGATATTCAACGGACTAGTTGAATGATTATTCAACATCTCAGGGAAAAAAGTAAAGGTAAAATAGATCTGAAATTTGAGAAAGTGAAAGATGCATTTCAATGGAGCCGCTTGTCTACTTTAAAATATACTTGTTGACTGTGGTGGCTTGTCTTGTCTACTTTAAGATATACTTGTTGACTGTGGTGGCTTGTCTTGTCTACTTTAAAATATACTTGTTGACTGTGGTGGCTTGTCTTGTCTACTTTAAGATATACTTGTTGACTGTGGTGGCTTGTCTTGTCTACTTTAAAATATACTTGTTGACTGTGGTGGCTTGTCTGAAAAACTACAACAATTAGACAACTTCCCTTGATTCTATTCATATAATTAGTTTCATGAAAGTTTAGTAAACAGTTAAGTTTCTTGTGCCTTTAGTTCTCTAGGTGTATCTTTGAAAAAAAATGGGCTATTGAACATTATGATGCTGGCAAAGATGCACTTAAACTCAATCATTCTGAAGCTATGGTATTTTTGAACAACTGCAATATCGTTCGTTCCAAGATAAGTTTCTCATCGCAAATTAAAATTTTTTGTATTTTGGAAACATTTAGCAGGAAATTTATATAAATACAGAAATCACTCTATTGTATGCACACTGAGCAGTAATGAAACGATGTGGTGATGCATATTAGGCATCTCAAACCCCCAAGGCTTTTGACTTGCTTGAATTGATAATTATATGTTGCCCAAACAAAATTATGAACATGAGATTATAATACTTCATAACGTTCTGAAATAAGAATATCTTTCAAACGAATATATTGTGTATCCGGTGGTATATTTAGTAATTAATTTTAAGGGTTTCTTTTTTTTTCTTTTTTTTTTTTTTTTATGGAGCTCAAGTGCCACATAATATTTTTGTAGTGTTGACTACTAAGTGTGTATTTTAGTTTAGGTGAAGAAGGAGATTTAATATATTGTGTGGAGTATAATTATTAGTTTGATGTTTCAATAATGTTGGCTTTGTTTCGGTTTATAATATATGTACACGTTCTTGTCATTTAGTATTATTGAAGGGGATAACTATTGTTGTTGAAAATTAATAGAATAGTTGGCTGAATTGTAATAAGTACGGTAGTTCTTGCAGTCATGTTTGTTGATATTTATTTTATCATTTACATTCACTCGATATGTATATTTGGCACCTATTCCACCAAAAATCAGCTTCATGTAGAAAGTTTTTTTATTCTTTTTATTTATAGTTTTCTTTACATTATCAATTGTAAACAAGTCTCACTATCTTGAACAAGTTTGTTACACTAAAAAAACAAAATAGTATATTTGTAACGGAATTCTGTTCCTAAAGTTCACATAGCTAACGTAATTTTATCCCCAATTCCGTCACTAATAACATTAGTAATAGAAAAATTGGATTTAAGAACAAAAAAACATCGTTACAAAATTGATATTTTTTTATAGTGTTACTTCAATTTTGATTTCAGACACACTGCTCATTCTACCAATGATCGCAAGAGCGGAGACAATTAAAGATGTATCCCTTGATTGAGTAGTTATACAACGATGTACAATTTTTTACTTTGATTAGTTTCAATGCATTGACTAAATGATTTGCAATATAGAATGATATATATTACGATTTCAGTGCTTTTTCTCCCATGATTCTTACTTGTTTTTTGTGGAGACCCTCTTCCACTTTGCACCCTTGGTTTTTGATATGGTTTGTCGCGAAATTTCGTAGGTCTATCACCTTAAATATAATCATTGGAGTTGTTGTTAAAGATTAAGGAATTTGTGTCTAACTTCTATCATGCGTTATTACTTCTAGTGCGATGTATGATGTTGATTGTAATTGAACAACTTAGGCTTTGATGCTTTCGTTGTGCCTCAAATTTAATTTCGTATTATTTATGAAAAATATCTGAAAAGTTATTATTTATGATATTTGTAACATAGTAAATACCGTAAAAAAAAATGGCAAAGTTATCAAGTTGTAACAAAAAAATCCATCCATCATGAATAGCATTTGTACTATTTTTTTTTCTTACGGATGTTATTGTAATAAAAATATTATATTTTTTTATGACAGCTTAAATTTCGTAACAAATACCTTAACAAAAAGATAGCCCACACGCGTCTGAAGGGTGTTGATTAAAATGATTTGTTACAAAAATTATCGTGACAAAAAGATTTGTTACGCGAGTAAATGTTACACCCAAATGTTATAACAAAATCGTAATAGTTTTTTTTTTTTCACGAAAATGAAGTTTTTATTACGACATTTCGAACGTGGCGAGAAAGCTATTTTTTCCTAAACACATTTAATTCTAACGTATCTATACGATTTTTTTTTCTATTTAATAGTAAAACACCTAATTAATGAATAATATTTATTTCTAGCAAGCACAAAATACATTCAAATACATTTTGAAACAACTTGTAATTAAACCCTGCAAAATACAAAGTAAAATATGTGACATGATGGACATTTTGATCAATGTCATTCTATGTGACATTGACTACTACTACTAGAAATATGTTATATTGTCCCAGATGGGTATATTGTTATCGATATTATATATGAAGTTAAAGAAAAAATATATATATAATTTTATTGTCACAAAATTGCGCAACAATGGTTGTACAAAAGAATATTATTATTTTTGATTTATTATTCGTTAATCTACTGCAATTTTTTTTTAAAAAAAAAAAAATCTTTCAAGATCTATTGCAAAATTCCATAATAATAGCTACAGGATTTTTTTTTTTTTCTTGATTTGTCTATTTCTGCAACAATATTTTGATATAAATAATGAAATTATTGTTGAAGCAATCCACACAATGTAACAACTAAATATTAAAAAAGATTATTGCAAATGTCCGCAAAAATCTTTTGAAAACAATAAAAAATAAAAATATTTAAAAATAAATTTACCACCAAGTTTCAAGAAAAAAATTAAATATATTAAAAAATTTCACATAATTCCACAACAATTATATTAGTGGATAATAACAATTTTTTCTTAATTTAATATTTTATAAAAAGTAGAATTAATATTTTATAGGATTAGGAATATAATTTTTAAATTAAAGTGAAATAAGTATAAGAAATGTATAGAGTACATAAATGAAATTTGTGTATATAATGAAAAACATTGAATATAGATTTAAACAAAATTTGTATTTATTTTTTTACTAGATATGGTATGAGAACATTTTTTTATAAATAGACCGCAAAAGAAAGAAAGAAACATTTTTTAAACAAATGTGTTCACCCAATTTCGTTTTTAACATACTTTATGATTAATATTATTAAAAAATATATAACAATATATACATTATACAATATAATATTAATAAAATATCCATTTATAAAAAGTCAATAACTTAATATAAAATATTATTTTTTATATATTAATATGTTTCTTTGTATCTACATAGAAAATATTTCAATCTAAAAATACTAAACAAACACACTTATTTAAAAATATTAATAATGTATTTAACCACTTTTTTAAAAAATATCGATTTTATGAAAAATAAATATTTATTTGTATAAATGAAGTATTTATATATACACCTATATTTTCATATATATATAATATTTGTTGTTAATGACATATAAGAATATAAAAAATATTAATTTTATTTATTGATCTATTTATTATTATTTTAATAGTAATTAAAAATATTAATTTTATCACCTTAAGTTAAATTTAAAATATAGAAATCTTTGTTTTAAAGTTATCTAATAAAAAAAATAAATTAATAATTCAAATTATTGAACAAAATTATTGAAAATTAAAATGTATTTAAAGTTCTTTAATATGATATCATAACTTTGGGAAAAATAA